TTGGGTTTTTTTCCCATTTCCAACGGGTCTTGGGGGGTTTGCTTGCTTTTTGAGTCCCTCCATGTCCGATGGGTCTTGTGGGGTTTGCTTGCTTTTTGCTTTGCTCTTTTTGCATTTCCAATGGGTCTTACACAGTTCACTTGCTTTCTGCTTTGCTTTTTTTGCATTTCCAATGGGTGCACGCTTGCTTTTCTTTATTTTCCCCCCTTCAGCCAGAATGGATTAATTATGTTTCCGATGGGTCTTGCAGTGATTTTTTGGGTGATTTTTTTCCCTTCAGCTGGAATGGATTAATTGCATTTCAATGCATTTCAATGGGAAATGGTGCTTCGACTTATGAAAATTTCGAGTTACAACCGGAGTTCCAGAACCAATTAAGTTTGTAAGTCGAGGCACCACTGACTACAAGCATGAGAAAAATTAAGAATAGAAAAAAAAAAGAAAACAAGTTACCAAAAAAGAAGCAAGAAAAGAAGACGGAACTAGAAAGCTAATGAGGGAAACAATAAACTGAAATATGGTTGTTGTAGGTTTTTCGGGCTGTCTGGCTGTGTTCTTGAGGATTTTCTTCCTAACGTTTCACCAGTCTCTGTGCCTGGCATCTTCAGAGGACAGGAGTCAGAACTCTGTCTGTGCTCTGGTGCAGTTTTGTGGAATAGTTGAGTATTTATAGCTGTGGAATCAGTTTTTTGTACTTTTCAGATGTGGTGATTATGGTGATCAGTGTGTTTTTTGTTGTGGCTGTATTGTTGTGATAACGGGCAGAGATGACCTGTCACTGTGATTGATGGGTGTCGTTAGCTGGTCTTTTGTGTGCAGTGATCATCGGTCCTTGTGGCTGGGTAGAGTTTGTTGACCGTTTGCAGGCTGTGTTTTTCAGTGCTAGGAGCCAGGCTTTGTTGAGTTTTAGACTTTCTTCTTTTTTGTTGAAGCTCTGCTGGTGTTTGTGGATTTCAGTGGTTTCCCTGTACAGTCTAACATAATGATTGCTGGTGTTGTTCAGTACTTCAGTATTTTGAAATAAAATTTAATGTCTAGCTTGTTTCAGGGCATGTTCAGCTACTGCCAATTTTTCCAGTTGTTTTCGTCTGCAGTGTGTCTCATGTTCCTTGATTCTGGTGTGGATGCTGTGTTTTGTGGTTCCAATATATACCTGGACACAACTGGTATCCGGTATAATCCTGCAGTGGTGAGGGGGTCCCTTTTGCCCTTTGCTGACCGTAACGTTTGTTGTATTTTTGTGGTGGGCTTGAATACTGTTTGTAGGTTGTGTTTTTTCAAAAGTTTCCCCATGCAGTCCATGAGCCCCTTTAATGTATGGCAGAAATATTTTATTTGTGGGTGGCTGTTTTTCCTCTTCAGTTTGGTATTGTTTTCTTGGTTTGATGGCTCTTGTGATTTCATTCTTGGAATAGCCATTTGCCTGTAGGGCCCAATTCAGATGGTTGAGTTCGGTGCTGAGAAATTGAGCTTCACAGTTCTGATTTGCACAGTCTACGGTATTTTGATTATGCCTCTTTCTTGTTGTGGGTGGTGGTTGGAGTTTTTGTGTGGGTGGGTTCTCTGTAGACCTTGTGTCCCAATAGGTCAGTTTTGCGTACGACCATGGCATCTAAGAAAGGGAGTTGGCCCTCTATTTCTTTTTCCATGGTGAATTGTATACAGTGGTGCCTCGCTTAACAAGCGCACCGTTTAACGACAAATCCGCATAGTGACACATTTTTTTCCGATCGCTAATGCGATCACATTGCGATGTTTTAGATAGGGAAAACATCGCATTGCGATGATCAGTAAGCGTTTCGCTTACCAATCTTCGCATTGCGATGTTTTACAAACAGCTGATCGGTGGTTTCAAAATGGCCGCCGGGTCAACAAAATGGCCGCCCGCAGCATTTTCGCGTCCTGCCCTCGCTTACCGGGTGGCAAAAATGGTGGCCAGATGGAGGATTCCCCACGTAATGGTGAGTTTTTCCCCAATAGGAACGCATTAAACGGAGTTTAATGCGTTCCTATGGGTTCCCCCCGCCTGCATAGCGACGAATCTGGATAGCGTCATTAATCCTGAAACGGATTAACGTTGCTATGTGGGGCACCACTGTATTTGGGTGGATGCTACTGAGATGGTTTAGAAATTCTTCCAGTTTTTCTTCACTGTGGTGCCAGATTCCAAAGGTGTCATCCACATATCGGAACCAGACTGTGGATGCAAAGTAACCTGAAAATGAAACTTTTACAAAAGAAATATTTGGAGAAGTATGAACAGATCCAAGGTAAAAGACAATAAAGCATAATGGTTAAGAATTAATAGAAAACAGAATGGTCAAACATGCTTATTGAAAGGAAGGCATGATCAAGGAAACAGTGCACAAGTGAAAAAATCAGATGAATGACAATTTACAAACAAGCGGCAACCATGCTGAAAACCTTAGATCACCCAGGACATCCCACATGTACAATTGTGTGTGCACTGGCTCTGTAGAATCTATGTGAAGTATTTTTGCTACTTTAGATTTCTGTGTTTTAATGTTTTGTTTAATTGTGATGTACAGCATTCTTGGATGGAAGCACAGGGTGAATCTAAAATCAGAAATAAATAATAAATGACCAGATTCGTGTGATATTTTGCATGACTTGCAGGTAATTGCAGCTAACTGATGAGATGCTGCAGTGTGTCTTGGTTGCATTCCTGGTCATGTACCTGATTGCACAGCTTGTCAGTTAGCTGCAATCAGCTGTGACAAGTTACACAATCCTCACACAAACACCAGTATGATCCCAGCCACTCCTTTAAGTCTTTGTTTTCCAACCAATTGTAGCCCAGCTTCTGCACAGTTCATCTTGCCTCTATTACTTGCTGATTTAACTACTTCCACCATCCTTCCCCGCACAATGGCAAAAAGGCCATCACTAGCATACGAGGAGCTTTTAAAAACCAGTATAGTGTCACTACTTTTAAATATCCAAATGCTACTCTTGACAAGCCAGAAAGATGCCACAGTTTACAAAAGATTATGAATCAGGAGTAGACTATAGACATTTTACCAATTACACAGGAAATCGCATTGAGTTGCATACTCAAATGGAAGTACTTAGAGACTTTGCGTTTAGCAAACAGATGCCATGCATGATTCTGCTTTGGTAAAGGCCCCTTTCTGCCCCAGCTGCTTCTGGACTTGTGTAAGTGTTAGAGGAATTAGCTCTGATCATGCTAGAAATGAGGTTGAGGGAAGGTATCTTGTGTGGGTAGCAGTATAGAAAATGTTGAGCTGACCTGTTACTAGCACAGTAATCCCCAAGGTTTAGTGCCAACCAGTTCTTAGATTTTTACAGAAGACTTTATTAACAGGGGTAGGATTTAGAAGTCAGAAGGATATCGCCCAAAGTCTTAAAAGATTTAACCTGTTGGACTCTGGAGCAATATTTCATAAACAATCAGCTGGCCACTATACCTCCTAACAGAGTGTTCCAGATTTCGCTAGTGTACTTTATTTTATGTCTATCATTTCACCATCAGAGAAAATGCAACTACATATTTATAGTCCTGGACTGTTCTTTCGCATTTGTCATTTAAGTCACAGTCTGAAATTAATTCCTTTACTCATCCTCCAAAAGAAGCAAGGATTGTCACTGCGGTAATAGAGGACCTTTTCCCAACCCATTATCAAATTGGTTTTGACAATTCAAATTTAGTTCCCGGATGATGCTGTCCAGTCCAGGGTAGTAAAGATACCTCTCCCTGAATCAATTAAAATACAATCTCAAAATTGAGTTGAGGTGTGGGACTGGACAAACCTTGAACTTACACAAGACTGTGTTAGTGTGGTGCATTCATTCTAATTACAGCAAAAGGTAAAGGTTCCCCTTGACATTTTTAGTCCAGTCGTGTCCAACTCTAGGGGGTGATGCTCATCCCGTTTTCAAGCTGTAGAGCCAGCGCTTGTCTGAAGACAGTTTCCGTTGCCACGTTGCCAGCGTAACTAGGGAACACCGTTTTACCTTCCCACGGAGGTGGTACCTATTTATCTACTCGCATTTGCACGCTTTCGAACTGCTAGGTTGGCAGGAGCTGGGACAAAGCGACGGGAGCTCACTCTGTCGCATGGATTCGATCTTACGACTGCTGGTCTTCTGACCCTGCAGCACGAGCTTTTGTGGTTTAGCCCACAGCGCCACCACATCCCTTCAGCAAAAGGAGGAACACATTATTCTACGACAGAACTGATTTCTCTCCCCACTCCACCCATTTGCAAAACTGTGTAAGCACTTAACAATGAGCCTCATGGCCCAGCAGTTAAACTATAGGACTGCTCGCAACCTGAGTTCAATGGGCTCAGGTAGGTGGCTCAAGGTGGCCTCAGCCTTCCATCCTTCTGGAGTCAGTACACTGAATAAGTACCCAGCTTGCTAGGACAGCAACGTGTAGCCAGCATAATTAACATGTAAATCACTCAGAGAGTGCTTTAAGTGCTATGTGGCAGTATACAAGCAGCACGCTTGGCTTCCCCCCACCCTTCCCTTTCAGTCAATGCTTCTATGTGAAACTCTTAATAGAAAATAAATCTGTCAATTTTAAGTGTCATTCAGTACAACAGAATCGAGGATACCAACATAACACAGTAGTGGTTGTTTACTTTTTCTCTGCTGGCCTCTTGTATACCCTCAAAAAAGGTAACTTAGTTAAGCAGGTATCCTACCATACCAAGATATTTTCATTGGTCCGTTTACAGGTATGTGCTTTAGACAGGTGACCCATGTTTCAATTAAGGTGAATGCTTGCAGAGGTTGCTGAGCAAAGTACCCCTAATGCGTACAGGAGCACCACTCATTTTCCAAAATAAAAATGATACTGGAAATTATGTTGTAAAAACTAACTGCATGACACAGTTAGTTTACAACATATCACAGTGCCATCTACTGGTTTAAAATAGTCACAAAGTGTTTCAGCATAATTCTCACCTTCCCAACCATCTCATTTTGCAAAGAAAAGTCTAAATTAATGCTTCCAACAATAAAAATGGCAGAGCCTTTATTGAATAAAAATGTTTCATACTTAACAAGATTGGTAAGAAAGCAGAATATTTTACAACTCTAAAATATAGTTAGAGCTAACTTAACTGGATACATTACAAAAAAGATTAAAAGCTACTACCCTTTTATCCAGCTTAAAATACTATGATTTATAAAATAAATGCAAATCGAGAAGCACTAAAAACACAATGCTAGGAATCAGTACCAAAAAATCCCCACTGTTTTTGTCTTATTTATCATCATGCTGACTTTTATGCCCAGCATTTTGCATGCTGACACTTAAAAATCTGGCAGTTTGGTACATAACATATTTTCATAACTTGTACTGTTTGCAGAAAAGCAGAATGGAAATTTCAAGTAGGAAATATTCAGAAATATAAACATGGAATGTATGTAGTGAAACCCTGCAGACAGAACCTTTGCCTTCTACGCTGTCCTTCACTCAGCTCTACTCTTGGAAATAAGATAACCTGCTTCTAAGCCCAGGTATGAGACACCTACTTCGTTGTACTGGCCAGCCAGCAGATTTGGATTCACCTGGGCCCAACTTTAAAACTAGTTGTACATACAATTTTTTTAAAAAATGCAAAGTGCAAAGAAAATCATCTCCTGATCATTGCCAAGTAAATATTACCTGCCCCTTAAATCATGCAGCTGGTGCGTATAGTTAAGATACTGTCATCACTGGATATCTATCTAGAAGACAGTGGGTTTTCCCCCACATCATTATATATATTTTTTCTAAATGTATCCATTGTGCCTTTACATATACATTAAAGTGCAGTAACGATTTAAATTGGTCCCTAAGCCCTTTCGGAACTGGTTCCTAAGCACTACAGTAGTATTGTTAGTGGTAATTTTTAAAAGCCTTCTCTCTTTCAGCTCTGGAAATATATTGATACTTTGCACACATGGCTGGACAACAAAGGGAAGAAGAGAAATAAGATGCCATTTAAGTGACCAAGTTACAGAGAGGAATTCAGAAGTGTACAGTTTTCCTCAAATTGAAGCAGCGGCTAATCCTAAAATAATTTCATGAGTACTCTTCCAATTTCACAGGATCCATTACATTACCGCACATTTTCAATAAACCTTCCTATAAAATGCAAAACCAAACAAATCTTTATGGTTCCCTTATTCATTACCTGCAGCACCTGGCTCACAGAGGGCAGCCATTGTAGAAGAAACAGGGGGGAAAAAAAGCTAAACACACCAATTTAAGGCCCAGCAACCTGTAATATGTTTCCTAGTGAACACAGTTAAATTTATTCATCATCTTCCTCATCACCATAGTATCTGTTCCGCTTGATCTGCGCCTCCACAGTCAAATCTTCTAGGTCTTCACCTTCAAAAAACCCTGCATTTTGGGATTTACGATTTGGACTCATGGACAATTCACTGTCATTTGTCGAATTCAAGGCCAAATGCTTGGGAGACATACGAAACGATTCTTCTTTATTGAGAGATGCTGGCTCTCCTGCAGCATTTCCTTCTTCCTCATTAGCATTGGGACCTCTCTGGCCATTCTCAAATGGACTCTCTTCACCTCTCACTTCTACCTTTCTCTCAAACAGCTTTCTGTCCTCCTCGGAAGGATCTGGAGTCTCACTATCCTCAACTGCGTTACTTCCATCCACTGGCTTGCTTTTGGGTGCCGTTTCCTTCATGGGCCCGTCACCTTGATGGACTCCAACCCTCTCAGCCTTGGGAGGAGACACACTGTCAGTTCTATGGCTCTTAACAGATACTGTTCTAAATGAGGCAGCTACTGTAAATGGCCGGCTTCTCTCTTTCAGCGAAGATGACCTCCGTAGCTTTTTAAGGTCTTGGTCTACCTCTTCCTGATTATCTGGCTTAGGGACCTCGTCTTCCGGGGGCCACTTTGGTTTCAACACTTTAATACCCTCTTCCAATACATTTCCTTGATTGCCTTGTTCAGAAGGGGGCGGCCAAGCAATCTTCAGCTTCTTTGTTTCTGTAGGCTTCTCCTCCTTCTCAAGCATACCAGCAGCTTTGGCTTCCATGGTGGCTGCTAGAATCCCAACTTTTGCTATTGGAGCATCTTCCACTCCTGGACTTTGGGGGCTCCCCTGGACATTTCCAGTATAGTCAGGTTTGTCCTGGGATTCATCATTCTCAGTTTTGCTTACCCATAGTTCCTTGTGTGGCTTAAGTCCAAAGCCTTCATCATAGTTACCTTTGGATTTAAAGAGCTGATTGAAGTGAGGTTTGCAGTAAACATTGCCATGTAGAGAAGCATAGGTTCCAAGACTGTGTAAAGAACAACAATTTAGAGTGTGATCAGTGCACCTGGTAACTCACAGGGGGGAGGAGATTAACCTTCTCAACATGTGTTCCCCCCCCCACTCTTCAAAAGATAGATGCATCACACTTATTACACTCATGCCGTGTCTGTAAAATAATTTGGATTTATGTGTACTTTATGTAATTTCATGACTACCAGGGCGATTATTGTTGCAAAACAGGTGTGCAGTCTTAAATAGAGGGCATTATCCAAAGCTGCTCCAAAGCTTTGCCATCTCTGCCCAAAAGATTCTAGGCTGGCCCCCTGTTTGATGTCCTTCCATCAGCAGCTCAACCCATTTTCACTTAGACAGGCCTTTGGCCGCTGACTCAGGATCTTTTAATGGCAGACATTGTAAACCAGCTTTAAATGGTTTTAAACTAGAATAACGATGCATTTGTCTTAATTTGACAATTTACTTAATACTGTTGTTAATATTGTAATTCATTGTGTTTTTTAAGAAGCACACAGAAAAAAACCATATGTTGTAAGTGGCTTTGGGTCCTGCAAGAGAGAAATATGATATATAAATTAAACAAATATTGTGCCAACACAGTCATATTAGAGCCTGTATGGTACAAGGGATAAAATGTTGGGCTACAACTCAGGATACCTGGATTGAAATCCCTGCTTGGCTATGAAATCTCATCAAGGGCTGGCAAAGGTAAACCACTCTTTAAACGTAACACATACCCTAAAATTAAGGTCATCATAAACTAGAAGTAACATAACAATACATAACAATCACATTAGTTGTTCCCTGTTTTGAGGAACTGCTTATGTCAACCAGCAATGTGAAAAGGACCCGCTAGAAAAACAACCATTTTCAGGAAAATAGCTCAGTGGCTATTGTCTGGGACAGCTGGTGTTCTGTCATGAGGTTCCTTTTATACAGATCCTGGAAGCATCCGTTTCACAGAGGGGAAGGAGAGGTTGGAATGCCTTTCATCGTAAGCAGGAATGTCTTTAACCAAAACGGCTGTGTCCATCTCTAACCTAGTGGGGGGTTTGGGGAATACTCAGTGCTGATGTGCTGCATACTGTGCAAAGCACAGCACAAGGCCATCCTGGGTTTGCTTTCTTCCAATAAGCGGGACAGGCAGCACCACTGAAAATGAATACTGCTGTTCAGCGGCACAGAGAATTTAATCCCTACTGCCACCTGATTGCCTCAAAGAAATAGCCTCATGTCCTGTTTGAGTGATCTAGATATTGTCGGCATGTGGACAGCTCCCATATAATGTGGAACATCATCGTCCTGATCCCTTGTATTAGATCACAGGGCAAAAATACATGGGGTGGGCACAGTCCAACCCACTTTTCTACACTTTTCTTGGAAGGTGGGGGGGCGCGAATCACCAAATTTTGTTACCACTTGCAACTATCATTCGGGGAAGCCTTCTGGTGACTAGGCAGATACACAGCCCTGAACTCTGACAGAACCTTTTCCTCTGGCATAAGAGGAGACCGTCTGGATAGCTATCTTCTTCATAATCTTTGACTAATTGATCTTCCCATCATCATTTGTGTTATTATAATAAGAGCTGCCCTTCTAAATTAGATAGCAGCATGTGTTGAGAACTATTGAATCTTATAGGCTAAAGCTTCCATAGTTTTTTGTTTTGTTTTGTTTTTGCCAATGGCTGTGACAGGCCAGACAGGCAGGCCAAAAAAGTCTGGAGGGCCAAAAATTCCCCAGTCCTAATCTGCTGGAGCTAGGATCCTGTTTCCAGCAGTGACTAACCAAATGCTTCTGGGAAACTTGCAAGTATGACAATAAGGAAGTACACCTTTGTTCCCAGTATCTGGTATTCAGAGGTAAACTGTGTCTGAACTTGGAATTCCCACATTCTGCCAACAGCTATTAGACATGACAGCTAACCATGAACTGGCCTAACTTCTTAAAACCCTTCACATCAGTGATTCCCAACCTTGAGCAATCCAGTCTTTATGGACTGCAACTCCCAGAAATCCCAGCCAGCATAGCTGGTGGTGAAAGTTTCTGGGAATTTCAGTCCAAAAGTGCATAGTGGTGAAAGTTTCTGGGAGTTTCAGTCCAAAAGTGCATAGATTACCCAAGGCTGGGAACCATTATTCTAGATTAATGGTCACATTTCTTGCAGCAGTGAATTCCACAAGTGACAGTGGTGTATTGAGTGGAACACATTACCACCAATTCCAGAGTTCCCACAGTAGCCCATTTGTAATTAGTTTACTGTCAGGACATATTGTGACTGTTAAGTAGTAGATTCCCCTGGAGTTCCTGGTGGCCAGCCAGGAAGAGTGTCCAATAGACATTTATCAGGACCATTACAACAGGAAGAATTTCCTTTTTCCCTAACCCACAATGGATTATGAATATTTGAGCAACATAATTGTTGCCTTTATAACAGTAGAGCTGTACCTGGTGGTCTTAGACTTACGTGAGTTTGCTGTTGCAGTAAGAACAGCGGAAGCAGCTGATATGATACACCTGCTGATTGGCAAAGAGACGCTCCATTGGATATACAGTCTTTTTGCATGCAAAGCAGAGTTCCTTTGCTGGTGGCTGGAACTTCTAATGGAAAAATAAATAGGCAAATAGCATCAATATGAAACTGGCATGCTTCTATGTTTCAGTATTTTCCATTCAGCAACCCTAAAGGTCAATCCTAACTAAGCTCTCCCTAAAGAAGGGGTGGGCAAAATACAGCCTTTCAGATGTTGTTGGACTACAACCTCCATCAGTCCTAGACATCCTTTCCAGAGATGAAGAGTCAAACAACATACATAGATCCACACTCTGCCCAAGTGTAGTGTTTCAGTTAAGGGCTCAGCTGAGACCAGTGTGTAATTATTGAAGGATCCTAGCTTAGGACTTCAGCAGAGAGCAGTATAAAGGCATGGACTCCCCATATAAGGCAGGTTCCCATGAGGAGTCGGTGCAGGAAACAACTGTTGTCTTTACCTGCTTTGGTATTTCCTGGAGCTATCTTGACCCTTGGACCGGACCCGGACTTCTCTTTGTGATTCCTTTACTCCAGCATTAATACTGCTGGTTCTGACAGATTCTCTGGTTTCTGACCTTGGATTGGGTTATTGGATCCTGTCTTTTGTTTACTGAAGTAAATCACGACACCAACCTGCTATAAAGCTAGTATGCATCAGTTTTATTCATTCCAAAGCAATGATTTCTCTACCCATCATCCTGATCCCCATATTACAGTCAAGCTAGCATGGTCAAATTTATGAAGGCAGCTATCAAAACTCCTCCCCGACCACACTCTCTCTACATAGAAGCTCAGCAATCTGGAAGGATGGGGTGGAACAGAAATGGGAGACAAAGGGCAAGATTGGCAAAAGCTTTTAAAAATGGAGACAGACTTAACCAGTCACATCAAACTATTCAGCTATGCGGGTAGATCAGCACCAGCAACCTAAACCCTACGTCAGCAACCAAAGCTTCAAGGATCTACCCTTTGAGTGTCATGGCACAGTAGTTAAACTGAAGTACTGCTCACAACCGGAGTTCAATCCCAATGGGCTCAGGTAGCCGGCTCAAGGTTGCCTCAGCCTTCCATCCTTCTGAGGTTAGTAAACTTGAGTACCCAGCTCACTTGGGGGGGGGGAGATTATGTGTCGCCTGCATAATTGTAAACTGCCCAAAGAGAGCTTTAAGCACTATGGGGTGGTATGTAAGCAAGATATTTTGCTTTTTAAAAATACTTCATGAATACCCATGTGGATCTGTTCAGTTATCACTCCTTTTAAAAAAGGAAGCCATTTTTAGGATCACTCTCAACAAGGGCAGATGGGTGAAACTTCACTCTTGAAGACCTCTTTTCCTCGATCCCACTTCCCTTCTCCAAAGCACAAAGCTGGAGAGAAAAATTATGCGCGTATTTAATCCAATGTGGGTGTTAGATCTGTCTCCACTCAAGCATGAAATGAATGAAAGTGTATTACAACTTAAGGGTCTAAACAACCACAAAAAATAGTGGAGGTTGTTCATAATTCTTGTGAACTTGCTTGAGAAACCACGCAGACACACACTTAAGCCATTTCGATTACATGCTCTGTATAATGAAAGCTGTTTTTTAAAATAAAAACCCACTTACATTTTTAAAAGCCTCAACATCTGTAACCACTGCTTCAAAAGGGCAGCAGATAATGTAATCCCATAAATGAAACCTTAAAATTTACATTGTGCTTCACAAGCAGAAAGTGTGGCCCAGATGAAATAGAGGGGCCATGTAGCCAAGGTAAGCTGCATCAGGCTGCTTCCCCAAATACAAAGAAATAGCTGTCCTCTTACTTAAAAAAATAATAATAAAAGACAAATCCCTGCAAACTAGAACTCCCTCCCGTTGCCATTTTTTTCGTGCTGATGATTAGCAATGTCTAAACATAAAGGAATAATTTCAGCAATATGGAAAATGGATCTCTCCAGTGACAGACAATACCCAGGCAGAAAATAGCCCGGCTGTCAAAAACTGGCTTCACCAATCTCATCTGGGAACCAGATACTGTATTTGCAATGTATGATAGCGGTGGCAGTAACAGATTTGCTATCCAACTTATATGCATGTATAGCGAAAGGCTTTAGGCGTGTTAATACATTTTCCTTTCCAAGCATGCTATGAGTAACGACTACAATAGAAGGGTGAAGTCCAGTTAATAAAAAGAAGAGAACAGGCAAGAAAGCTGAGAGTTGAGCTCACATTAAAAGGGAGGCAGAAGGCAGGAGTAGAGATTAGGAACCAGGAGCAGGAAACAGAAGCTGGAAAAGACAAACGGCTCTTTATAAACATCTATCTGGGCTGGCATGAAAGCACACTAAGAAGTTCCTTGGGTGAAACCCATTGTACATTCACACCATCCAATACAAACACAACTCAACATACAAATTTGTAAGATCTGGGAGGATTTTTCCCCCCTCGCAGTTGTTACTATAATAATAAAGTCCAAACTTTCTGCAGGGTGCTTTACACAAGAAGCTCAAATAATCATGACCTACATCTCAGTTTTGTACTCTTCGTACCAAAGACTCGATGACTAGGAAAGCAGAAGCTAATGGTTACTATTGCAAGTGCAATAGTTAAAGCATATATCAACGGTGACTGAATGAAACACAATCCAATGTTTTAATCTTCTGCTTCCTACTCAAAAGACTTATTCCCTTTCCTTCCCTGCCTTATCGTCACTCATCAGTCTGCCTAAGGACAGAACGAGGCCTAGTATAATTCAAATCTGGGAACAACAGAGATTGGCACTAGGCCCTGGTATTTCACCCAGAGTGACACCACCCAACGTGCAATGAACATTTTATGACTGCAATAATAGTTGTATGATTTTTCATAAAGGAGAGGGGATGGAACTTAAATGATTAATATAATATTGGAAAGCAAAACACTTCTTGCTTATAACATGAGATCTATAAAGGCACCTTCCAGTTCTGCTTGTGGAAAACATAACTGCAATTGTTCATAGCAAATCCCCATTTTAGGAACAACACCCTTTATTCTAATTTGGAATAATGAGTATAAACACAACATCTTCAGAGGTTGCAACCACATGTTACAACACAAGGTAAGTTTATAATAGAGATGGGAGTATTCATATTCGTATGTGAATATCCTCCCCCCCAGGTGGAGATAATTAAATGGATTAGTCACTCTGCGTCCTGTCAGAGAGGTTCGTTATCCCGCCTCTTGCCAGGACTGGCTAATCCATTGCGGACAATGGCGTGATAGGAAGGCTCCGTCAGTGGCGGAATCGTGAGTGGACAGTCCAGCCCCATGGGGCCCAACCCTCATTATCTCCACCTGTGGAGGGATATTCATATTCATATATGAGTACCCCCATCTCTAGATTATAATTTCAAATTTAATTAATTGCTATGGCACAATAAGGGCTTCTAGATGATTTATGTATTTCCAGGGATGCTTGAGGGATTTGTTTGGCCTCCGTTTGAAAGGAAACTCAGGGTGTGACTGCACTTTTGAATTAAACTGGGAGCTGGTTCAGGTTTTAACAATCAATTTAACATCACATGCTTTTTGTGTCAGTGTGTGCACCCTCAGGGAACAACTTTTAGCTCAGCTGTAAGCAGCGTGAAATATTGGCGCTTCAGCACTCTAGGTCCTGGATTTCCTGGTTTCCCCTCTGTGTCAGGAACTTAATTATTTACCTCAACCATACTTTGTGCCTTTCTTGAGGTAGAGCTCGCCTGCCTTGAGACAGCTGATGCCAGACACAGCAGCTTTTATTCAACACCAGCAGCCCACAACACCCTCACTAATCCATAAAACAGAAGGCTATTCCACTTCAGAATGTTTGCTAGAACAAATGTTACATGGTGACCCAAAGTCTGCCTTTTAGAAGATGATAACATGGTTTTCTCCTCCTCCTTCTTCATTAAATAGGCAACCGTTATTCTAAGCAGAACATTTCACAACCATACATCCCCATACTTTGTAAAGCCAACCGCAAGATGCTATCTTTTTGCATATACAGTACAAAAGAATTTGCTGCTGGCTTGCATTCACCATTTAAAATGAGACCACAGATGTCCAAGCATTGTACAAAAGAAAAAGATAACTGATATTGTGGCTACAGACTCAATAATGGGCTGGTTGACAGACCAGCAGCTGTGATTTTGAACTGCTTTGAGTGGCTACTCCTGTCAAAAAAGCTAAACACAAAAAGATGGCAATTAGTCCACTTCCTAAGTATTTCTGAAACAACTTTGGACAGTTGTAGGGTGTGCAGGATCACTCACTAATACACAGACATCATTTGAAGGACTTGATAACACATCCCAGTGAAAGTAACACAAACTAGAATTGGATCAATCCATTCCCACTGAATTCCCAGGACTTCTATTTTCACTTTTTAAAATTCTTACCTTCATGCACTTCTGGTCTGTGTATTTTTTGCTCATACGTCTTTTACTAGTTGCATGAATATATTAACTTTCTTATATATTTATACTGCCTGTTCTTGTATTACTTGTTTTTTTATAAAAAATAAAAACACATATACCCAAAATAGACCAGTGGACCATATGCATTACGTATTTTTCTGAAATGACTACTGCAGAAACTTAAAATAGTAAATGTACACTTTACTGAAAATGTTCACAGAACCATCCTAGAGTATGCTTTGATTTCCTTCTCTGAAGTCCCTGCACATTTTTCAGATAGAAAAAATAAGACTTTGCTAAGTCTGAAGGAGTTCCACTACTAATAATCTATAAAAGTGGAGTCAGAGAGTACTGTAGAAATTGACACATACTGCCCACACCATATTTTCCAGATTACTCCCCCACCCCACCCACCCCCGGTATCATGCTCATTGCTACTAATGAAGAATAAATATCCACTCTACCTTCACAGCTTTGGGGGCAGAAGTGTCGCTCTGGCTAGAGAACCGAGAATCAGGGCTCTGTTGTTTCGCAGAGATAGACCTTGAGACTTCATTTTCTTTCTGGAAGTTTAATCCAACTAGAATAGAAGGAGTCTTGTTAGTATTCCTCACTTGAAAGTCAAGTTTGCGATCTGTACTGAAATTGTTGATGAACTTTCTGTTCTCTATTTCATTATTTAAGTGAGAAGAAAAGTTATATGGCTGACAACATTAATCTTCCTTCATTGTTACCAGCCGATTCTACCAAGTATATTATCAAATTTTAAAATGTCACTGATTTTTCTTTTTAAAAAAAATCTAATTCTGTTGGTTTAATTCATGTTTCATCATATTATTGATCATGTGCAAGGATTAGCTGCATGTCTTCTTTTAGGAAGACCAGCTCTCTGTGGGGCTGCCAGAGGGCAATTTTCCTTTTCAAAGTGTCCTCCACTTGAGAAGGGCTATCTAGTCCAAATCTGATTTACTGATAAAGAACTGGAGATCACCATTTCCCATCTACAGTAAGCACCTAGGCAGGAAGGATTAGCAAGAGCCCTGGTCACTTCCTCCATATAAGTGAAATGCTAAATCATTCCCTTTGAATTGTAAAAACAATTTTTTTCATTTTGGAGCCATACAAATACATTAGCACAAATTATTTACTTATTTGCAAATCAAGTGTTCTCCCTTGTCCTCCTTTTTTTGGGATGTGTAAATGACCTCCCGTTTTATACCAGGAACACCTTTTTTTCAGTTAAATTCTTTCAATATGAAAGAGGAGAATTATTGCACCTTTATAGGCATAACTACACATTGATGTGACAATGTATTGTCTGCAACATTGACTGAATTTAACACTGGGAACAAGATGGAGCATGGGGTTCCACTTTGAAGCAAGAATACAGTGTGCAGATAGAAGGCTTAACTTGGTCCCTTCCTCTCTGCAATCCTGACAAGGATGGCTCCTCCACCCTCACCTCAACCACTGCAACTACAAATTTAAAAAAACTCCCATTGGTTTCAATGGGAGCTATTTGTTTGTTTATTTATACTGTATTTTTATTCTGCCCAACTAGTGGCAGAGCAAACAGGATGGCAAACAAATCAGACACTAACATCACTAACTGAAACAAAGGGAGTCTTGTCAACAAATTTTCCGGGGAGGAAAACTGCCTCTCCCTGCACAGTATAGTCTCAATTCAAAACAAGACGCCTCCTTACTTGCTACTTATAAAAAGCCATCACCAAGTGCTTTAAGAACACCTCAGAAAGTGTAATTCCCATACACTAGGAAGCTGCTGCCTGCCTCTATAGTTTTAGAGGCCAACGTATCTAAATCCAGGCATCAAAAACTGACATATACTGTACAGTCTTTCCTTCTTTGTTTCAGGGCAAAAGTGAAACTGAAGAACTTACTGGTACCGCCATCTTCATAGAGGCTGGAATTCAGGCCATCTCCTATGGAAGCCTGCAGGAGAAATGTTTATATACTGTCATTCCTTTATCACACTGATATCCAGATAACTGAACATGCCAGCTTGATGCACAATAATGTTGTGTGCAGTTGTACATATGACAAGAGTACAAAGGAACAACCAAAACAATCAATACATTGTGTGAAGCACAAGGCAAACTGAGGTTCAAGGCATAACAAACCTAACAATCTTGCCATGTTAGAATTACGGTTCTTCCCTACCAAACAGTTTCACATTTATTCTACTCTTCAGCTGTACTTTTAGAAGCCAAAAGGGCTTCTTAACCATCTTAAGATGGCCCAACCATGTAGCTTTTTTCTTTTTGGACAAATGTTGCTGTCTTCACTAAGCATCCTTACCATGCCCTTTGGGCAAGTTGATTTGCATTCCCCTCTCCCATTGATCACACAGTACAAAGGGAAATGTGAATCAGTCCAGAACCCCCACCACCACCAATCCATAGTTTTTCCCTCCACTGCTGGGGCTTCTTCTTCCTTTTCTTTTCTTTTTTCTTTTTAACAACAGATCAATTTGCATTTGGGTTCAGACATGTGATCATTTGAACCAATGCAGGAAAGCTGCCATGCCAGCACACAGTCAGGAACAGAGAACAAAGTCCATTGGCAAGACTTTTTATTTTTCTTTAAAATCAGTTAAGGGTAAAGCAAAGCCTTTCTCAGAAAGTCTCAGCAAGACTGCCCTCCTTTTTCTTAAGTGAAAAAGGCAAGCAAATACTTTTTTTAAACTGCTTGCAAAGCTAGGAAACCTTTTTTTTTTTGACAGCTTGGTGCCAGCACTGAGGCATTAAAGCATGCGCACGCGCGCACACAGAGAGAGAGAGAGAGAGAGAAAGAGAGAGAGAGAGAGAGAGAGAGAGAGAATGAATTGGAGGCGAAAGCAACAGGAGGAAACCCTTGTTACAGCTTGTTAAGGCAGTAAGGCAGTTCCTTTTAACCCTACAGATACTTTTAAGCCTCCTACAGGTACTTCAACAGCGTTGCAAACAAGGTTCAAAAAAGGCTTTTCTTCACTTTCCCTGTATGGCCACTTAACCAAACAGACTTGAAATTCCCTGTTGCAGCTTCACAGCAAATGAATGTGAATGAATTCACATTTATCTTGCTGTGTAATTGAGCCCTCTGATATTACATGATTCAACAACTATTTATAATCCTTGAAGGGTTATTAATAAAACAAGGACTGAGAAGTATTTGGAAGACAACACAGACATATTCAATGTCTCAAAAAGTCTCTAGTTTATGTATGTGAGATATTGTACTTCTGTATTCATGATTCAAAATGCCCCAATACTGCTGCGCAATACTGTCTGGACATTGTCAGCAGAAAAATGCTACGCTTTATACAGCAAAATGTGGCCAGTTTTGACAACATCAATGTGAGTGTTGACAATGTCAATGGCAGAAGTCAAGATGGTCTACAGGATACCCTCTTGTGCCCACTACCATTCACAAGGGAAAATCTCAGATATCTGACTCATTTTTTCATCAGTTAACCACTTCTCCCCAAACACAAAGTAACTTCTCAGGGCTGTTTTCTGACAAGTGTGACTGACAGTCCGCAGAAGAGGGTATTCTATAGAGAGAAACGCCTAACATGAGGTGGATTGCGTCAATCAAGGAAGCCATAACTATTATTTTGCAAGACTGGAGCAGAATTTACTGGAAAAGACAATACTGCTAGGAAAGGGAGCAGTAGGAAGAGAGTACAACCCAATATGAGATGTTATTGGTTTGCAAGATCAGAGCAGAACTGTTAATGATATGACATTTTGAAGATCATTCACTCGTATAGTCACCACACATCAGAAGTGACTTGATGGCAACTAACATCTTTGGAGGGTGTCCCCCCCACACACCGTTAATTGTCAGAAAATTGTATGGTGATAATATGGTCTGCGCTTTTATAATGCAGAAATACTCTGGATATGCCTTACAAAACTGTATACTAATTCTCTGGATATGTCCCTTTTTGGAGGATGGTCACTTCATTCCTTTCCTTAAAGCAAACCTGGTTATTTTTAATCAACTATGATAAAACTCTAAAAACTATTACACATGAACTATAAACTAGTACAGAGAAGAAATGGCCAAACTGTGGCCCATGAGACCTAGTCAGTAGTGAGATATGCTGAAAGTTGTAGTCTTGTCACTAGAAGGCCACAGACTGCCCACTTCTGGCACAACAGCTATAGAACGCATCCATTTCTCACATATTTCAAAACTCTTCTAATTATTAAACAAATGCAGGACACCAGGAATGGCCTCTTTCCTTCTGGGAAAGAACAAGAATCCTGGGGTCATGTGCTGTATCTTTTGAAGCGCTGGTAAATTGTTGGCCCCTCAATTTTAGAAGACCAGTGAAGGATGTTTGTTTGCTTAATTATCAAAACTAGAAGGGTTTTTTTCCTAAATGCCAATGATGCTTTTAAAATTGTGAACAATTTTAATATCAGTAAGAGTTGTTATTTTCATCTCAGCATGCGACATCATCAGGGTACAGGAGACGTGCACCACAGATATCCTTCCGAAATAAAAGTCTTCTTGTGATGAGGTTCACAATTCTTATTGAAGTTATCCAGTCTACAAGGACTGAGATAAAGTTGCCTCCATTGCACTAATGTTTGGTCAAGACAGCTAATTAGAACCACTATCAATTTATCCAAAGATCCATTAGCACATCTCCCCCATCAAACCAACGTGCAGATTATCCATAGGACTGCAACTGCTGAGCATCTCTCAGGCTGCAAGGGCTTCCCTATGTAACTAAAATTCAAACACTATCCCGTCTCGGGCGTAATAGCTTTGTTCCAAGTCATGTTGTTAGCTGTCTTGGCAACAATTTTTTTCAGTTGAAAGGTAGGGCAGAAATGCACACCATCATTGTACAATAGCAATAATGGTAATAATGATGATAACACTAAGGATAGAAGGAAAAGCAGCAGCTGTACAAATAAATGGTCAGGTTTTGCTGCCACAGTGCTACAAGAATGATCCTTTGTTTACATCTATAATTCAGTTTTGTTCTGCTTCTCACTGTAGTTTTATGTTACTCTTACTTGGAAGTTTCCACATCATGGGAAATATTAATTGGAAGCCTATCTCAGGGTCTTTAACATGGATAAAACAAATAATGTTTCTTCACTTATTCAGTACATCCCACTGGTACAGAGCAGTGCTGTCTTCCTCAAGATGATGCCCACCAGATATATTGGACTACAACCTTCATCATCCCCAGCTAACATAGCATGCAGCTCTCCTGGCTGGCAGTGATGTGGGCTGTTGTGTCCAATATATTTGGAGGGTGCCAGGTTGACAAAGGCTGATCAACCTGCAATCTTCAAAGGATTGAGCTTTTAATTCTTGGCCATCCTCCATTCATCCTCCCTTGTTACAGGATTTTGTTGTTGTTGTTGTTATTGCTTCAAAGTGTTAAATATGGATTTATTTTTATTTTTATTTTTTTGCTATTGCTTCAAAGTGTTAAATACACATATAAGGAAGCTACAAAGGAAATCATGCCAGATTCAGGACACAAGAGTGCCATTTTCTCTCCTTGGATGCCTGCTCTGTTAAATAAAATACAGCTTAAGGCTGCTCACCCTAGGGAACTAATACGCCATAATAAGCTTAACGGCAGCATCTTGCTAATTTACCCTGGAAACCCTATTCCAAGCAACTGAGCTGCACAAATTAGTACGGAAGCACAGAAGGAGAGGATAACACACTGCGCCCATTGGACTCATTTTGAGGAACAGATTGTTGTAAGCATTCCAGAGCACATTCTACACAGTGTCAGAGAGGTCACAACAAAAAGGGCACTCATGCTCCAACAGCGCCGTCATGTGAGGAAAGCAGAGGAGCAGTGCCTTCTGCATGCGCACTAAGGAACGCGCGGATTAATTCATTTGGTAGGTTTATTAAACAGTGTTGTCCATTTCTTATACAGTACTGTATCCCACCCTGGGCAGCTAGCCAATATGTTTTACACAGATGTTTAAAAAGACACAAGCTCATGCCTTCTTTTCCAGAGGGGCCCCCTCCTCTCCCAAGTCCCTGCATGAGCTCTTCGTGCGCATTAAGCCAAATGCTTAGTCACCCGAAGGGGGAAAGCCACAAGAATGCTTATAAACTTAGGGCTTATTCACTCTTTCACATAGGCAGGAAGAGGCCTCTTTTATTCAAATCATCCATCTAGCTGTAGGAAAAGGAACAGAGAAGGAAATTACTTTTTGAGTTCAACATGGTTGCTTTCAAGGGAGTTCATTGTTTACTGGGGAAGTAGTGCCCCCAATGGCAAGAGGTTACCGATAGGCAAGAATTCTCAGTATCTGAGTGAGAGGGCAGCAATTGGCCCCAAGTGGGCTAGGATGTGTCTGACCACTCTTCATAAATCAGGCTAAAAACTATACAAGCCCCCAGTTATTAGTGGGGAAGGGGGACACACATTTCAAGAGGGTAGCCCTGTTGATCTGTTCTAGCGGAATAACACAGAGTCATCCTGGATCTTCAGGGCTAACAGATTTCTTATAGCATGTGCTTAGAACTTATGCTATAATCAATCCATGAGCCATAAAGCTATCATGCACATTTCCCCAAATTTAATACTCAGGGCTGCACAAGGACTAGATGTGATCCGTCCAGTTAAGTAATACTCACTCATGGTTTCAATTTTCAAAGGACACTGACAGAACAGGAAATGCTATAGGGTGTGTGTCTGTGGGGGAGATGTAATGCATTGCTGAGGTGCTCCTGTATTTACTGTGGAAAGCCCAGCTCCTTCCTCTAGGAATTAACTTTAAATGTGATAGCAGAGCTTAAGCCACACAGAGAAAGCCACCCCATTCTCATTACATGGACAGGAATGGGACAATGGGTGGAAATCCAAGAGATGTAAAATGAAAGAAGATGGCTGAATATCAGTGGCAAGGGTTACACAGCTATTTAGAACCAGTCTTGAGCACAGTGAGACGACTGAAATCCCATTAAGCATCAATAGGATTTAAGCACCTGAGGTGTGCGCAGGATGGCAGCCAGACAGTGTTCTTCACAGATCTAACAGAAAAGATTAAGAGCAAGTTGCCACCTAGCTTTGCCAGCATCTGGCCACGCTCCGGATAGCCGTCCCACCAACCATGTGCATTGGCTCATTATTACCCACCAAACGAGGATATCCAATTTCAACAAACACAGAAGAGTCTCCACTTCCAGTTTAACAAAGGGTTGTGAGGAGGAGGGGAAAGAAGAAAAGATGGGAAGTATTGGTTTCAGTGACTTGCCCAAAGACAGTGAAAGGATGGAAATGTCTCATGAACAAAACAAAACAAAAATTGCAACAAGTGACTGCTCTGCACCAGCATTCACTTCGCACCTCCACACACACAACCCAAAGCCCTCTAGTGAGTTCTGCACGGGGGGAGGGATCTCCCAGATGACTAAGTGGGACATGTCTCAAACAAACCTACAGAGGGGAGTAAAAGTCCACAACCATCTACTGCAGAAAGAAAAATACACTATAGCATCCCTCCATATCAGGACATGAAAGATGAAAGCAGGTAGTATGTACTTTTTTATAAAGGAAGAAGAAGAGAGGCCAGCATGTTCTACAGACATATTTTAGGTTCAGATTCAGTTCTGTTTTCCATGAACTTATCATCAGAACATTAACACAGCCTGCTGCCAATTTGCATCAGCAGATACAACTCAATTTCCAGATGCTGTGATTTAACAATGTTCCGGGTGTGCCTCTTCAAGCAGCTCCACACAAGTGAAGTTGTCTTGATCTTCAGCCAAGATGACCATCTCTTACCTCCTCCCCTTCCTGCTCGGAAAACAGATCTTCTGAGCACGGCGGCAAGTTCTCCTTCTGTTCGCAATCGTAGTTCTTGTCTTCGCTTTCACTGGCTTGAATCTCACTCTACAGAATGACAAACCACTTGAGCATTTTTATATTTCAGTCCTTAGAGAAAGGGGGATTTTGAGTCTTTTTGAGAAAGTTGTAGAAAGAGATATCTGCATGAAAGTAAAAAGGGGCACTTAAGATAGAAGAGACACTATCCATGCCACACTAGACCTGGCACCAGAAGACATCAGCAACCTTCCACTGATGTACTTATGCTGAAGACCTGCTGCTTCCACCAAGATTGGTTAAAAATAATAATAAAACACCCTCCCTTGGCATCACCTGACCTCCTCCGTACAGCCTAACACCATCACCCCCAAAGTGCTGGGAAACCCTCTGAAGACTGAGGAGGCACAGTGGGAAAACAAGCCCCATTTTCATGGGCGTTAGAAGGACATCACTGTTATCTTGAACACACTTTTATCTCTTCTGTTCACTCATGTTGAAAGGGGTATACAAAAAGGATAAAACAATTAAAATTAAAGAGAAAGAAATGAACTCATAGTAAGCTAAAGGCCACAAAATCAAGAAGGCAGCATAGAAACAATCTGGAGGATTAATAACTTCATTTTAAAATCTTGGGAAGTTGAAATGACATTTATCTGGCACTAAAAAGGCAATTAGGACATGTGCCACATGAGCATCTCTGTTCCAACAATCAAAGTGCTACCACTATAAAGTCCCTCTCGCTGGAAGCGAACAACTTCTCTTCAGACAGAGAAGAAGTTGCAAAAGTCCCTCTGCCATGGATGTTAAACCTTCCCCTTCTTCAAATCATTCCCTTGGAAACTTATGCAACATTTAGTAACAAATCTGCACTTCTAGGAGGCCAGAGCTGCGCTAACCCAAAACCTCTCTTTGAATGGAGAGGCACGTTCTTTGTTATCTCACTATGCTTCAGTGAAAAAGGTGCCCAACCCCCCCCCCCCCGAAAAAAAAAGCTACCATGGTTCCAGCAGCAAAAAGGAAGTCCATGTTCCTTCCTTCTCTCACCTACTCTGCAGTCCACCAAGCTCCGGAGCAACATCTGCTCCGAGTGGGACAGGGGCAGATGGCAGAAGTGGGGGCAGCCACTAGGGGTGACTGGGTTTACGGGAACAGGAAAAGTACAGTATGCTCTTTGAAAAGTACAGAAGTTTCTGTAAAAATGCTAAAGCAACTCTCAATGGCAAACTACCACAGTCTTGATCCACAAGACACTTCACCTTTGCAACCTAGAATTCCTACATATTAAGAACACTACATTTCATATTGTTTAAAGTTCTTAAATCAACCCAGCCATTACCTTACCTGACACTGCAGTTTTTCACTGCACTGTACTTCCTGGGCTTCATAATATGGACACAGAACTCTGACCCAAGCCAGCTATCCTTAAATTACCATCTTAATCACTAAATGAGCAGGCATCCCTTCAGCTTGAAATGTCAGACTTCCCTCCGCACCCCTGCTTTCTTTTGCTTCAGAAGAATCTTATACCAAGTGGCAGGGAGACAGAACGCAACATCTTCTAGAGTAGCTCAGTACTGTTAATAACAGTTCAGTAACTAGTTGTTCTCTTTGTTTCATTTTAAAAAGGCCACAGCATATTTAATTGTACTTTATGAGCATCGCTGAAAAATATTAGCTCACAGTCCGTTTTAACCAGCTCGTGATTACAGCAGTTGCGTTTCCATTCACCATAAAAAAAAAACCTGGAGCTGCTGACACCACTGAAATATCTAACAGTTCCTGCTGATGCTACTGTAACTCTAAACACTTGAGCTTTTGCTCAGAAGCGATGCTTAGCACAACCATGAAAGAAGTGTGCTTGAAACCCCACAGAATTGGGGCTAGAGGGAACTGGAGCAGAAAAGCTGAAGGTAGACAAGGTAACAGGTACCACCAAGTCACCTGTCCAGTCCCAAACAATCCATCCTCAAAGCTGTTTTCCCCTCAGAAAGGGGTTCTCTTACACACATTTCCACGTAACAAGTGGCTCGGCCCTAAGACAGTTTCGGAGTTGGGATATTTGGCCTCTTCTCCTCCCATTAATAACGTCTAGACAGACTCGTGTGGTAAGTGGGGGTCCATTGGCTAATTCATCCTCCAGAAACCACTATGCTAATGACACCTTTTAATCTGAGACATCAAGCCAGAAGACTGAAGATGGAGAGATGAGAGAAGGCAAGCTGGAAAAACAGCCATTAGCAGTTAAGCAGATTTGTTAAACCGGCAGCAATTACCTATGCCATTAAATTCTCTGCAATTACTGAAGTACAGCACAAGAATTACAGTGCTGCATATGGCAAAAGGGGGGGGGACCCTTGTATTAGAGAGAAGAACATTTGAATAGCTGACAGTTTATGGCATGCATGGAAAGCACCAGAACTTCCAGCAACCCCCTTGGGCAAAGCAGGGCAGAAGACCTGCTCAGTTCCCTTGTTAGTATTATCAACAGAAAGAGATTCTGTTATATCAGCCCGCCTGGACCAGGAAAGCCCAAGTCAAGGGCAGGATCACACAATGCTGCAGCAACAGAGGCTGCTGGGGGCTTACAGAGTACCTCCTTAGAGGTGTCTGCCTCCTGATGCTCTGATTCATTGCCCCAGCCTTGCCTCTTTGCCAGCCCATCTCTGCATGGGGCAATGACGCTGGATGCTCCGCACTTAAAGACAACCGGGGACCACTGCGTCACCTCTGATAGAGGGGCATGAGCAGCAGCTTTCTCCTCCTCTTGTAACAGAGGCAATTGCCTGCTGTTTGTCTGGCCAAGTCCAGTGCACCGGTCTTGCTTCCTTCTAATGATCTGGGCATGCTCGTAGGAAGACCAGCAGTTCAAGCAGAATAATGCAAGTCGTGGGTTCTTCCCATTTATACACTAGCACAGTCTAAAACCCAACATTATTTTTGGAAAAAAAAAGACACTGACACCAAATTATTAACTATCTTACTGATGTAAGTATGGGTGAGTTGGGGATCAGTGTTCTAAGAAGTACCAATCCAATCCTCCAGTATCAACAAAACAGAAGAAAAACGGCACAATCACCCAACCCAGTGGGAAAATCAGACTGGCCTGGCTGATGGGCTTCAGATTCCCAAGACCTTGTCACCATCACCACCTCCACCTCCATCCAAATATTTCAGTACAAAGACCAGTGCAGCTGCAGTACTCAGGACAAGCAAACCCAATTAGTACAAACAATGGAGGAAGAGACTGGAAAGTCATAGTGGGGAGATGAAGAAACGCGCAGGCCGAAAGCCCAAGGACACCGAATGAGAAAAAGTGGAGACCAAGGAAAGAACAGAACTTTGGGCAAGTCACAGAACCAGTTTGCATTCCCGTTTTTTTCCCCCCTTGAGCCAAGCAGTTCAAGAGATGCAGACGTGCTATTGAACTTAAGACATTCTCAGCAGCAGAGAACCAGGCACATGCAAAGAACAAGGCAGCAGTGTGTGAAAAGTGGGGAGGGGAGCAGAGAGGAGAGTCCAAAAATGGTACCTGTGGCTTGAACAGAAACAACAGACACCATGCAAAACAAGCGGTTAGATCCCCACCACCGCCACCGGCACTGCTAGCTTTGTGACATCTGAGCGCCCAGCAGCTTTCCCAAGGATGATCAGTGGCCTCCAGAACCACCTGCTCAGGCAAAGCACTCTTGGAAAAAACAGCCCACCCGTGATTCACAGCCAAAGGGACCTACCACATGACCGCTTGAGCTGCTCTGCTTGGACACGGCTGCTTGGTACTTAGCAAGTCTGTCCTTGATGGATGTTTCCGATACACGGGGTATCTCCTGGTTCTTCCTGCTCTCTGGTTTCTCTGTCGGAGAGTTGCTTAGCGGATGACCTGGAATGGGGTGTATAGTTGTGGCTGTTAGCAGAGATTGCTGAGGACTGAAAATGAAAGATGGGGATGAGAGAAGAACAGCCGTTTGAATTAAAAAGGCTGCAAAGGGATAGTCTAAGTAGGGTTTCATCCCAAGGCACATTTTATTATACCACAAGGACTGAACAATATGTGATTGAAGGATTCCACAGCTTCCTCATCTAACAAGGCCAAACAAGGTTCTAAGTGCACATCAGGAGTGGTTTACTCCTTGGAGTCAGGAGTGGATCAGTGACTTAAGCCCTTCAAAGACAGGCATATGTGCACAGTTTCAAACATTTGGCATGGGGAATAGGACCCGTCTGGCTGCTCATTCCCCCCCTTAAAAAAAATAAAACATTTTCCATCCCCAAATTAATTCTGGTCCTGGAACAGTATAAGAAAACAAAACAAAGGGAAAAAAGACTATTATTTTGGAGGTAAAGTACAGGCAACTGAAGGGTTCCCTTCTGGCAATTACGGCCTGCTATAAATAAGGAAGATCCTAACTTAATTTTCACTTCTACTACAGAATCAGTAGGTAATCTTTATATAGCCCTTCTTTCTCTCGGTCTCAGTTGACATCTTACCCTGCATCACCCTCTCAATCCCTCCAACTGAATATATTTTTTAAAATGTTTTGAAAAGTTATGTTTTAAAGGGCGCCAATACCCCTGCTGCCTCAACATTTCCCATTTTTTTCTTTTCTAAAAACATTTTGGCAACTAGAGGTTGCAAGGGGCCTTTTTCAGTTAAAAATAATAACATCCTGTATTTGTAAGAAAACAATTGTGATTACTCTGATGCAAATTCAGCCCCTTTAATATCCAGGGAACGACAACTGCTGGAGGCTGCCCAACTCAGCCTGGTAGACTTACAATTAAATGATAGATGTGAAAGTGTTATACACATGTTAAGTGTTTTTATTGCTTTCACAATAAAGCATAATTAACAAGCCCTGTCAACAAGATGCAGTGTGAATTCAAACAGACTCTCCTCCACCAGTATTCTCTTATACGTACAGATACAGTACATACTTCAATACTGTTCCAGAAAAAACATCGCTAAGTGATTTAATCGCTAAGCGATTTTAAAAAGCCCATAGGAATGTATTAAAACACGTTTAATACGTTCCTATGGGCTAAAAACATACCTTAAAGTGAAATTCCTCCATAGCGGCGGCTATTTTGGGTGCCTCTACAGCGAGGCAAAACAGCGGTGGCCAATTTGTTTTTGCGGTGGCCATTTTGGAACTGCCGATCAGCTGTTTTAAAAAGTTCGCTTTGCCATGATCGCTTCCCCGCGATCATCGCAAAGTGAATTTTAGCCATAGAGGACATCGCTAAGCGATCGCTCCGCCGATGGCCAAAAGTCCATCGCAAAGCGATTTCATCGCTCAATGGAGCGATCGCTAAGCGAGGCACCACTGTAATAGAATCCCTTTGGGGGGGGACAGAGCCAAAACGGCCCTTTGGAGCTCAGGTATGCACACATGTGCCTCTTAGATTCACTAAAGCTTGCTCTAGCACAAACAAGTGGCTGTGCAAAAAATAAACACAGCAGAAGTGGTCTGGGTGTGATTTACAAGGAAGTTTTTCAGTACGAAAGCATTCTCCAACAGGCCTCTTTTGGCTCATTCACATACATAACCAAAAGACTGGGAGATATATCTGCAGGGTTGCCCTGTGACATCCTAGGCTTTGATAGTGAGTAGGTGGAACTTTTCTACACAGCAAAAAAGATGGACATTTAGCTGTCATACTATATACTCAAAGAAATCTCAACACAAGATACATCCATTTAAAATACGAATTTCTGAAGTGCTTTTCCACCCTTGAGGTCTCCAAATTGATGCACAATAAGAATGTATTATTGCCTACCTGAGACACTGTGGTTTCTCTCTCCAGAATTGAAGTCAAGATCTTCTGAGGAAAAACTATTTTCTGAAACTCTGCTACTGCCAGAACCCCTAACTTGGTCACGAAGAACCTGTTTGGAAAGCCAGAAACCCATCTAATTATTGCCTGGTTTGGAAAGAGAAAACATCATAGTTTTGAACTTACAAGTACAATTCCAGCATATGAGACTTACCAATATTTAAACATTTTGAAAAGCAAGGACTCGATTACATGGGCATTTGTCCCAACGTTTGGTTCGTTACAGGGGGGCAGTTTGTTTTGTTCTTTTTTCCAGTGATCAAACTAAACCATCCCCGGAAAATTCCTACCCGTATGTGTGTTCAATGGAAGTGGAACAGAAGTGACCCTCCCTGGCTGTCAAAGCTCCTTCTTGTTTCAATTTCCAGTATCATGAAGTGGCTTAAAAAGCAAGCCCGTTCGAGATACTGGCCATCCCCAAACACTTCCTCTGCTCCTTGACACTGCGTCACTTTAAAAATTGGAATTGTGGATTTGGCTACAGGCAGTTTCTTGGTTGGTCCTTTAAGAGAAACCAAATAAACTTTTTCTTTTCTTTTTGAAATAATGCAGCGCCACAGCGATCGTCTATCACAGATGTGCCCTCAATGAGACAGTCCTTGTACCACCAACAGTAAAAATAAAAAGTTTGCTCCTTCTTCAAAGTTTCTATGACTATCTTCTCCTGTAACCATTGCATTTCTGAGTTTTCTTTTGCAATATCTCAGTCCTTTCAGGTCTGCCAAAAACTCTGCTGAAAAGTAATGGATTATTAGCCTTGATCTTCAGCTATAATGACCTTTCACCCCTCATCCTCCTTCCTTTGACACAGCTTTCATACCTTGATGAGCTACAGATCTCATAATATACACCTGCTAGTTAGGGCTGATGAGAACTGCAGTCCAACAGCAAGATCTGGAGGGCAACACGTTCCCCAGCTCTGTGTCACAGTTTCCCCCTGATCAGAACTGCCTCTGATTTCTTACCGTCTTTTCATGATACGCCTGCTCATGGCCTTCCGATGTTCCCTATTATATAACCTTGCAACTGTGAAACTCCAGCTTATATGATTTTGTCTTTTCTTATTCACATTCTGTGTCCAGAAAACCTTTGCAAAACCACCATGAAATGTGCTCTCTGTCTCTTGTTAAGTACATTGTCCAAAAACCATGAAGCATTTGGTTGAAATTGCCCACCTGAATCAAAGCACGTATGCTCAGCTATGTTTGCATATATAAAACCACATTTGTCTTTCTTTTGCCTCTCCACTTCCCTTTTCCTCAGCTGCCCCTAGTCATCAAACTTTAACTGAAAGATCCTAGTGAGCAGGAACTGTTATATTTAAATGTTACTAAGATGTGCCATGTGCATTCATATCACTATACAAACAAATGGTAGCTGCTTTGTAATCTAGGAGACCATTAGGAGAAATTTAGTTTGACAGTTAATATGTTTAAAAGCTGACTGAATAAGACAGACATGCTATCTCACCAGAGTGGGCTGTACAGCTATGGGTAGATTTTAAAAACTGTATTGTTGTTGTTATTATTATTATTAGTTTTATTTATATGCCACATTTCTCCCAACAAGGGACCCAAAGCAGCTCACAACATTAAAATTTGCATAATTTAAAAACACAGTAAGTTAAATATTAAAAGATAAATTAAACAATAGATGATTTAAAAATTAAAATTAAAAGATCCAGACCAACTTGCAATCATTAAAACTGAAAGAAAACAAGATGTAAAATTATACAACGGCTGATTAGAAAACTAAAACTTCTGTATGGCACGAAACAACAGTTCTAGAGGAGCTGCTGTGGTAACATTTAATTCTCACCATTGCCCACGCCTATTTCAGATGCTGCTTTTGAGGAAAGACCAAGGCCACCACGTCAGTCATCTTTAGTTGCCAACTCAAGGATTAGGAGTTTGATTCCAGGGATGGGGAGTCATGAATCACAACATGCTGTCAAGTCTGATTTCAATCACACCAGCAAAACCTCAACTGGGGGGGGGAGTTTCCGGGAACTCACAACTTGACTTGCGACCCATTTGCCCAAGTTGCATTGTCAAGTCCCTATGGGCTGCCACCGCCCCGACCTTCAGAGGCAGCAGGCCTGGCTTCCCTTCCAGGACTCAGCTGCTGCCTCTGCCCACACATCTGCCACCCAAGCTGATACTCCAGTGGATCTGCAGAGGCAGAGGAAGCTCTGGGAAGAGAAGGGAGGCCCGCCCCCGTCTCTGCACATGTACATGTGCTGGCCCAGCTTCCCTTTCAGGCCCACTATCTGAATGCTTGTGCTTCCCCCCCCTCAAGGAGGCAAGTGGCTTGAGCCTCAGGCTTGGAGCTTGGGGCTCAGTCCCACAGAGTTGCCAGCATCCCTGCCTGATCCCCCATTGTACCTCTTGGAAGAAAAACCAGACAAACCAGCTTTGGGCAAGCTGCTCATTCCCAGAGCACCCAGAAGGAACTGTTAAAGGTTTTCGAATACTTTATAAATGGGAAACTGTGGCAAAGGTCAGAATCGACTTGATACCACATTAATTCTTACTAATTTTCACTACTGACACATGCAACCTATCAACTCCCTTTTTTTTCTGATAGGACCTTATAAGACTAAGGGGGGAAATGACATATTGAAAACTGACAATTATATGCTGACAATGATCTTTAGGAGATTCCCGGTGTGGTATAATGGATAAGATGATGGACTATCACTCTGGAAAACAGAGTTTGAATCCCCACTTGCCCATGGAAACTCACTGGGGGAATGGAACTGGTAAAAGCACTCCTTAAATATCTCACCTCGAAAGCCCTATTAGGGTTGCTATAAATTGCTTGTGAACTTGACAGCACAGAACACACAGAAATACTGTATGTTTTAACTTTATCACTTAAGAATCTAGACAGCTTCTTGAAAAGCCCACTCAAAGCTTCTTCAATATTATATCCTATATCAAGATGGGCTACCCTTTACAACTAAAAACGTCCCAACTGAAGTCTCCTATTCACCATATATATACAGAGAGGAAAGGGAAATGCAGCAAGGAACATTGACAGAACAGCCACCCTGAAGACAGTCATTCACTGCAAAGACATATGCCTCAACCCTACAGGTGATTTACACATGTGTAAATTAAATTCTGTAATTCACTTTGGTGAACTGCTGCTTATGGAGGAGGCACCGGAGGGATTACGAGGCACACATGCAGTCTTCGCAACAGGCACCCAGGCAGCATTGCAATCGGGACCTCCTTAGTTAGCGACTATTCTCCACAGTGAGTTACGTAACTTGCACCCAGGCAAATCACCCTAATCAAAAACACCAACATTCTGGCTACAGATTTTTAAATTACACATTTTCCGTCAGTAAAAAGTTTAAAACATGGCAGTAAGAGGTTTTCCCTTGCTAAAGATGAGGTAGGTACTGCAGTCCTAAGAATGTGTGGTCCCTAAAGTTACTTTGCGCACTCATTTTAGACCCCACAGCCTCCTCCTATGACAACATAGGGCCACTACTGGCACTTACCCGAAACATATATTATGCTGTTGCAGCCCAGGTACAAGATTTTGTACAAGATTTAAATTTATTTTATCACTTCTTAAGGAGGAAAGGACTGCTTCAGGATATCATGCACAGGGAACTTTGAGACAAGTGATATGCTGTTTAAGAGAAGAGCCATACAGTTGTATAAACAGGAAAAGCCTGCAACAACTAGTTTCAAATAACACACATTTTAGAAAAGCTGTCAATCAGTGCTCCCATATACCCCTGCTTTATGTAACAAGTGCTGATAACACAAACCACCATATTTCACTCCCAGCAGAAGGTTCCGGCTCTTTTAAAAAGACATCAAGAAGTAAATAATGTACTGCCCATGACCTTTCTAGGATTGAGAGCAACTAATGAGCTGCCATTCAAAAGCTAACAAATATCTGTGTAAAGAAAAGTGGTATGGTGGTCAAACTGCAGTACTGCAGTGAAGACTGCTCATGGCCTGATTTTGATCCTGGGCTCAGGTAGCCGGCTCAGGGTTGACTCAGCCTTCCATCCTTCCAAGGTCGGTAAATTGAGTACCCAGCTCACCAGGATGTGTGTGTGTGTGTGTGAAGTCTGCATAATTAAAAATTGTAAACCACCCAGAGAGTGCTTCAAGCACTACAGAGTGGTATATAATCAGAACACTTTTACAAATAAAATACTGTGAAAGGCAAACATTTTCCCACTTGTTTCTATCACTTTGGAGGTTCTCTCAATGAGAAGCTGGAAAACAATTGGGCACTAAAGATTAAGAACTGGAACCCCTTCCCCCCCAAAAAAAATGTTTAGGAGCTGCATCTGGAGGGCATCAGATGGGATAAAGCTGCTGAGCTGCTGTATGCTTTCAAATCACCACCCTAATCTACAGAAGCTTCCAAATAAGGAATCAGTGAGGGCTGCAAGTCAAAAGCCTGCTTCTTTAAAAAAAGAAAAACAATTTTGAAGTTGAATTGAAGTATACTTTTAATAGAAAAGGGATTAAAGGTGGCACTATCTGTAACCAACAGGCGGCAATGCCTTTAAATGCAAGATAGAGATATATATTTTTAAGCAATTGGCTAGAAAACGAACTCGAGTAAACTTTCCTGGAAACTGAAGCCCATCAATGCAAACTAGAGATTGCTCAAGTTTTTCAGAAGTGAC